ATAATTAATAGTTCCAATAAATAAAAGTAAAATTATACTTCTGATAAACATTGCTATTACTGTTCATATTTGGTTCTGGGATATTTTTAAAAAACATCCAATGCCACAAAATAAAATGTACACCTTCTCTGTATCTAAATGTGGGGCTCTAAAGAGAGCCAACAGTACTAAATGTGCAAGGTGAGATCATAGGAAGTTACCTTATAATCAAAAAATAAATCCTCTACATTCTGTAAGAAACCTGACAATGAGTCCTCATGCAATGTTTTCCTGTAGCCACCTTTGTAAACCACTTATGAGCTCTGTAGGAAAAACTCTATGGGTGTTCCTTTTTTATCCCATGCCTTCAGTGACAGGAACAGCTGGTTCTACCAGTTAGTAATGAGGCTGAAAAGAAGCTGGGACAGGCTCCTGGAGTTAGAGAAAAGGTTGTTATTATCCAAGTAGTTTGAGTCTCTGATAAGTGTGCCCCATTTGCTGCCTCATTAACTCAAGTCACTGACTTGTCTTTGCAAAGGATTGCTCAAATATATTCGGTGGCTAAAATACTGCTAAAATCCTCATATTCTCTAAGTTTTATTACTTTCAACTTCCAAAAAGGCCAGGTGGGAGAAACGGAGTGAACAGTGTAAGTCAAACATTACTATTGAAAAATGCTAAAAATATAAAATGTCATTAGCCCTTTCATATGGGAAGAAGACTATAATATCACTTTATCAGTACTGTGCTATCATTCTCACGCTGTAGCTCTTGAAGATGGAAGGATCAGTTTTGTCTGATTTGGGATAATATAATCTGTATTCAAAATTAATCTTTTCTGTGATGAAGAAGAAATCTATTCTGAGATTGCTCCAGAAATAAAACTTCTATTAAGTCACAGTAAAGATTTAATTACTCAGACTATTAACTGTTTAGTAGAAAGATTAACACATAGCCACACTAGAAAAAAAGATTTTTCCCTGGGGCCACAGTGTTTTATTAAAACAAAACAATCCTTTCTAATTTGTTATTTTTTTATTGTTTTCTGTGCGTGGATATATGCAATGCAATCCATATTTTTAGAATTAAATGGTCAATATTACTTGTAACAATAAGAACATCAAGCAAGATTTTCACCAACCAATTGCAGGGTTTTGCTTCACCCGGCCTGGGGTCAAAACTAGCCTGAGTTAAATACAACTCACATAGCAGTCAAGGTGTTAAGTCTTTTTGCCTATCTTTTTAATCCACTTCTTCCCTTCCACCACCTCTCCCACGCCTATGGTCATTTACATGGGTTAATCCCACTACTAGAGGTGTGCTCCAAATTATGTTCCACATACTTTTATGTGGGTTGAAATGTCAAAACTAACAACCAAAAGAGAGATTTGAAGTAGTTTACAAACTTCAAATCATTTCATATCTTGCCAATCTTCATTAACAAAATTGGTTTCAAAATTAGTTTTCTGTCTGGTAAAAAAGTATGTTATTAAAATTACTTATCTAATATCATAAGAAATAATCCTTAAAAATTTTAATGGTTCCAACCTGGAGATCTGCTCCAAGCTTGGTTCCAAAACGCACGTTTCTGACACAGTAGGGAGACTGGCTCATGTTTTCGGTTCCTCCACACAGGACAACTTCAGAGTCTTTAACACAAATATCCTGTTTAAAAACAAATGAACAACCACCACAACAAGAAAAACCTTTTTATTGTGTTCAAAAAAGGTATTAAGAAGTATACAGATTTTACAAATTAATGATGATTCTAATAAATATTGTACCCTGGCTTACAGTGTCTCAAAAGGAAATGCTTTTAAAGTAATTGTATAGCAAATGCTCCCAAGATGCAGGGGAGAAAAAAACTAATAGAGTTCAATCATCTTTGCCTGAGTAACAGACCCTACCTACATTGTGGCTAAGAATAGTAATTCTTAACTCAATATAAATCTTGAAAATCAGCAGAGATATTAATGTCTGGCATAAACGTATAGCAGATAATAGAGGACAAACCCTTTAAAAAGGCAAAAGAAAAAATTATCCTATTAATGGATGCGTCTGAGAGAGACCAGAGATTTACAAGAACCAGGTCAATCTCAGGGGCTCATGAAAACGAATCTGTTTCATTCATTCTTCCAACTCTTTTCACTGTTTGCATTTCTCAGAATAGAAGCAAATAGTAAGCCTCCAAGAACGTGATGTTTGAAATTATTGCTAAGAAAATCAGGGTCATTATTTAAGACATATTGTTGTAGAAACAAACTAATGTGAAGATAATTTATTCATTACAAAATATCTGGGTCTCTTGTTTTGTTTGTAATCAAATGAAGACTTTTATAAATAAAATTGAATTTCACTGTACTCTCTTCCCCTGCGTTCACAGAAACAAATGGATTTGCCCAACTGTCCTTTAAAAAGGTCACACTACTTTGTACTTCTATCAACAGTATAATTAAGCTACTTTGTAATAAAATACATTTTCTTATCATCTCCAAGATTCTTCAACCTTCCTCCTTTGCCTCACAGTCTTTCTTCAGTGTTTCAAACTCCCTCACAGGTGATTCTCACAGACCTGAGTTCAAACTCTGCCTCTTTGACTTAGTAACCTTTAAGCCTTTAATCATCAGTTTCCTCACCTGTAAAATGGGAATAATAATAGTTCTTGCTTCAGAGGATGGTTATGAAGATTAAATGGGATATTGAATGTAAATTTCGCACAGTGCCTGGCGCATAGGAAGCACTCAATAAGAATGATGAACATATTCATTTTTTTAAAAAACGGTGGCAAAATATACATCAAATTTACCATTTTAACCATTTTTAAGTATATGGTTTAGTGGCATTAAGTACATTCATATTATAGTGCAACCATCATCACCATCTATCGCCAGAACTCTTTTCATCTTGCAAAACTGAAACTCCATACCTATGAAACACTAACTTTCCCTTCTCCCTTCCCTCTAGCCGCTGGCCACTATTTTTCACTTTCTGTCTCTATGAATTTGACTACTAGGTACCTCATATAAGTATAATCATACAGTATTTGTCTTTTTGTGACAGGCTTATTCCACTTCAGGGTTCATTATTAGCTTTTAATAATCTGTTTTCGGCTGGGCCTGGTGGCTCACACCTGTAATCCTAGCATTCTGGGAGGCCGAGGTGGTGGATCGTTTGAGCTCAGGAGTTCGAGACCAGCCTGAGCAAGAGCGAGACCCTGTCTTCTACTAAAATTAGAAAGAAATTAGCTGGACAATTAAA